TTTTTTTTTTTTAATACTACTCACCTGATTCCTGGATCCAACAAGTGCGGCCTCCCGTCTCCCACTCTGTTAGAAGTTGCATACAGCGTGTGCTGGTTACTACTTAAACAGGCGCACGCAGTGTGCAGCTTCTGAGAAGATACGCTATTAGCGTAGCAGGAGTAATGCAAAATGCAGCCGCCTTCCCCGCTATCTTCCCAGAAGCTGCACACAGCGCGTGCCTGTTTAAGTAGTAACCAGCACACGCTGTATGCAACTTCTAACAGGGTGGGAGACGGGAGGCTGCGCTTGTTGGTGGATCCAGGAATCAGGCGAGTTTTAGGAACAAAAAAAAAGTTTTATTTTATGTTCTATTGTTAGTTCTATAATGGCATTGTAGTACTTTCAGGTGGAATACAGCTTCATAAGATAACAACTAGGGAACTACAAGCCCCAGCATGCCCTCATTGCCCCTGTACAACAACCAGATATTGCCATTCCCTGGGTGATATGTGTGGATCTCTTTGGGGAGTGGGGGGGGGGGGGGGGTGTACAGGGACAATGATGGCATGTTTGGACTTGTAGTTCCTTAGCTGATATATATGTGTGGGGGTGGGGGGTCCAGTTCTAGTGGATGTTTATATAATATGGGGGGGCGAAAAAAAATGTTCTGCCCCGGGCGCCCATAACTCTGGTTACGCCACTGGCTGTGCCAAGGCACTTCTGTGCCTTAAGCCTCATAACTTTACAGTATATCTGTAGTGTAAGATCTAAGGGCAATGTGCCTGTGATTGCTAGTCTCAGGATATCTAGAGTAAGATCTGGTAATGTCACTACTCTGCTACATTCTGTTCTCCTTGCTGTAGGCTCTGAAATAGATAAGCAAAGCCATGCCTCTGCCAAGATGGCCACATTGTGGAGCAAGAGATGGTAAATAAAATAAAAAGGTGAAAAGATCAGCTGCAGGGAGACCACAGGCAATACTAGGGACTAGTCCTTTGCCCTCTGTTTTTTGGATACAGCTTCCAGACTTCAATTCTTCTTTATGACCCCTGACTACATTTTTATCCACCCACCAGTAGCATGCAAGTTTCACAAAAAACATCTGCCGCTTGACATCTGCATCCAGACCCTGAAATGATGTGTAGAAGGTCCCAGTGCACAAAAGCGATGAGCTATTGTCCAATGCTTTTTCTTTTACGCACTTTATTAATCAATTTTATTTAAAAAATTATATTAACCCTTGCAATGGAAGGGATAATCGTTTTTGTCTAGGTTCAAAAATAAAGTTATACTCACCCGAAGCTCTGAGCTGGCCAGTTGTCACAGAGCTCCCTCCAGCCTCTTGCCTCCTACACTGCAGCATTGGAATGTTCCTCAGCATCCTCACGTGTATGTATGTATGTATGTATGTATGTATGTATGTATGTATGTATATATATATATATATATAATGTATAGAACATGATGATTTACAGGAATTTTAGACCACTGCAGTGGAGGGGGGAAGAGAGGCTGGAAAAAAACAATCTAAAACAAGCCGGCTCCACACTTCAGGTTTTGTCATTATTAATGCACAGTCCCAAGGAATCTAGAAACAATTTACCCAATTTGCTTGTAGCATCGGACGATGTATTACTTTGTGGAATGTAGACATTTTTTTAATGAAATATAAAGCCAGTACATGAAGGTTATGGTATTTTCAGCAGCTACTTAGGTCTTTTTAAAATTCTTCACATCTGGGAGAACTCGTGACTGACAGATGCAACATACTAATCTCTACCTCTCACCTCTTCATTCTCTTCACAATTTAGAACCTCAAGCTCTTTGTTTTTAGACAACTTCATCTTTAGAGAGTATGGCACCCATACGTTGCGGAGTTCCTCAACTGAAGGTAATACTGGTGGGGGAGGGGCAGTCTCAGGATTATTGAGCTCATTCCTAACAAGACAAAGTAAAGGAGATCAGTTTGACAGATAACCTAGCTGCATCATTTAAGAGCTAAATAAAAAAACGCCCTATTGGCATCTGTGAAAACCAAGGTAGGTCCTTACCATTCTACTGGGCTGCTCTCATTTGGAGTTGGAAATGGCTCTATTTTCTTCAGTGCCTTTTTGGAAGCATGCTGCAAAATACAATATAGTCATGTCAAGATGGTGGCAGAGTAGAGTCAGCACATAGTAAACATACAAATACATATAAAGAAGGCTTTACAGAAACATTCAAAGAACAGCCAATAATAACATGAGAATTAATTAACTATACCTCTGCCTGAGTCTTCCAGAATTCAGCCTCCTTTGTGCTGTTCACTTCACAGTTTATAACAAGCACATCAGGAAGACAGCGAATATTTCGAGTCTGTACCTGAGGAGAGAAGAAACAAATGTGCTTAGATATAAATACCAAAGTATACAACTGCCGAAAAACAGGATGATTAGAAATACACATCTATAATGACTTTCACCTACAAAATGAGAACTGGAGAGGATTACTTCTTCATTAAAAAAGGCAAGCACTTTTTTTCCCATTATTGTAGCATTCTACGAACCGTTAAAGTGATATTAAAATCGAAATGTTTCAGGTTATTTCAAATGCTGATGAAATCACTTACAATGGATACTGCTCCTTGAAGTTTAAAAGCTTTAGTTTCCTGCAGAATCAGCTAGTCCCCTGACCACTGGCCCTGATATCCCCTTTAAAAAAAAAAAAAGTGCCCATACACCTTGAGGGGAATTTATCAAAACTGGAGCAGACAAAATCTGGGGCAGCTGTGCATGATGGCAACCAATCAGCTTCTCTTTAATTTTTAAACCTTAACTGAACAAACTGAAGAGAGAAGCTGATTGGTTGCCCAGGACAACTGCTCCGGATTTTGATAAATCCCCCTCCTTGTGATTATCGATTTCCGAACCAAATCAGGTTTTCGTACGATAGAGTTGATGGTAAATGAAAGATCACAATTACTGTACTGTAATTTAGTCTAAAAACGATTAGTGGCATTTTCGTACGACAAAAAATAGCAACATAAAAACTGCACATGTGCAAACGAAAATCTGTTCTGCCGGACGCAATTTGGTCAGTTAGTATTGCTAATGAACGATAATTGAAATCCACATTTGTCTGTGTATGATGGGGCAGTCGTGCTGAAATCAAATACGGTTCGATGAAGGCACACAAAAAAAAAAAAAGAAATTGCACGATGATCGTAAAGTCTATGGGTACCTTTAGGGTGGAGCCACCCTTGTGTATGCTAGTAAGCCGTGTGCGTCTCCACAAATACACAGGCACAGCAAGACAATCTTTTCCCCTGCCCCTCCTTCCTCTCTTTTCCAAGCTTGTAGAGGGACAGTTTCTGCAGCCTGCTCTGTCTCTGATCTGGTACTCAACAAGGAGTTCAAGGAAGTGGAAGTGAGAGAGTTGGAGGTGGTTGGTAATATGATAACTAGGTGTTTGGGCATAAATGAAAGAAATCCTTTGCTTGGCATAAATGAAAGAAATCCTTTGCTGAGCAATGTATATTAGTTTGATCTGGATTCATTATTGGAAAAAACAAAATGAGTATAATACTACTTCAATTCTTGGAACACATAGCTGCAACCACTCAAGTACTTACTGTGGGCTGGTACTTCTCACAATTTTCACACCAAGCTTGGGTGTTCTGTTCCAGACAGATACTTCTCCTAAGGATCTCTACAAACTCATAGTCTGGTGGCTCTTTACCTAGAATGTAAAAAGAAAAGAAGTGAACATGTGTGTTCAACTGACAGAATACTGCCGATAAACACGGCCACACGTGTTTTCTTACAGCAAAAATAAAATGGTTTTGTTCATGGCATTATTATTTTGCACCTGTTTTTTGTTTTGTTTTTAACCATTAGAAAAATAGAAAAGTAAAAGTAATTCTACCATAAGAACAAAATCCTGAGTCCACTGAAAGACATGGCTCCGAAGAATTCTGAGATGTAGGGTTATGCTGCTGCCTCTAATTTCTACTAGAGGCAGCGGCATAACCCTATGTCTCGAATTATCCAGAGTCGTGTCCCTCAATGGATGAACGAGAAATATTTAATTTTCCAACTAAAACAGAATATAGGGGGCAGCAGGGACACTGATGTTACAGAGCATTATGGAGAGCACATAAGAAGCTGCACATTTACCATATATTCTATTTATAGCTGAACTCCAGCCTTCCTTTCAGTCTGGCACATTTGTACAGCTTCCTCTCTTGTACTGAAATGGTTTAGTCCGATTTCCCTGCACACCAAGCTTCTCATAGTGTGCCTTAGAAGAGTCAGAAAGTCAGACAGAGACCACCTCATTTCCTGGCTGCAGGATGTTCGGCATCATCTAGTTCTTTTCCTTTCCTACCTTACTCTGTCTGGTCGGCCACCCTTTCATTCATTGGATTTTAGTTCTCTCAACTATGGAGGCTCAGCATAACAGGTGGGCCTTAGCTAGGGTGGGCTGCGTGCAACTGAAGTCTGACTAGAATTTCTCACTGCTCCAGACACTTGCCCATGAAAGTATTTTAACAAGTATAAAGTAATATTTTAAAGTATATTTATTGTTTGCATAACTCCTCCCAGGATCCAGCCCATGGCTTGCATCGGGTCTGAGGGCTCTTGAGAAGTGCTGAGGCAGAATGCTGTGATCTTTTCAGGAAGCTATGTACAACGCCCTGCAGGCCCCTGCCACCAGCCATGATCAACCTGCATTGCATAGAGAAGCGCAGCGATAACGTCACTGGGTCTAAAATAAAGTATGTAATAAAAATTGACATTCTTCCCCAGCATTTGTCAAGGGGTCATCATGTCTACAGGCAGAGTATAGCAATTATTGCTTGCACCTTTGTCTATAGGATTTCTGTATTCTTGTAAACTTGCCTATCCATTCCAGGTGCTCAAAGAGAGCTATATACCCTTCACCTGTTCCACCTAGTGTGAGCTAGCTGCAATGTTTGATGAATATGGCTCAAGTAGTACTACAACCTGCAGGAAGTGCTAAGGCCCACTTAGCAGAAAAGATTATATTGTAGTAAATGTGGTTAATTCATGTGAAGATCCGCATCAGTATATGAATTCCTTTTTTATGGCTCTATTTATATTTTTCTAAACCGTTTCATGCATAAAGGAGTTGGGATAAACTATTATACGTTCAAATATTTGCTCATCGGTCCAGAGCACCTGCCGCCATCTTTCTGGGGCCTTGTGTCCAAAAAGCCATTCTTCCGACGTGGAAACAAGGGTAAGCGGCTCAACTATGCACGAAAACATAGGAACTGGGATGCAGAAAAATGGCAGCAGGTGCTCTGAACTGAGGAGTCAAAATTTTAAGTATTTGGCTGTAGCAGGAGGCGGTTTGTTTGCCGAAGGGGTGGAGAGCGGTACAATGAGTGTCTGCAGCAACAGTGAAGCATGGTGGAGGTTCCTTCCAAGTCTGGGGCTGCATTTCTGCCAATGGAGTTGGAGATTTGGTCAGGATCAATAGTGTCCTTAATGCTGAGAAATACATGCAGATACTTATCCAGCATGCCATTCAATCAGGGAGGCGTGTGATTTGGCCCCAAATTTATTCTGCAGCAGGACAACGACCCCAAACATACAGCCAACGTTAAGAACTATCCTTAGCGTAAAGAACAAGGAGTATACGCATACACACACGATCTGGAGATGCTTCAGTTGGTCAGGTCTAGGTTCAGCAATGTTATGCCCTCAAAAAACGAGGTCAGCTGCCTACCTAAATATACGAACAATCCTGATGGCATGAGCACATTCCAAGATGACAATGTCAGGATTCATCGGGCTCAAATTGTTCATGGAGCATGAGACATCATTTTCACACATGGATTGGCCACCACAGTCCAGACCTTTACCCCATTGAAAATCTTTGGGATGTGCTGGAGAAAACTTTACACAGTGGCCTGACTCTCCCATCATCACTAAGATCTTGGTGAAAATGAATGCAAATTTGGACGGGAATAAACGTTGCAACATTGCATAAGCTTATGGAAACTGACACGGCAGATGCATGCCATAATCAAAGGTGGTCCAATGAAATATTTGTATGGGGTGACTTTTTGGCCAGGCAGCATGTATATTTTAGAAAATTATAGATCTATATCTATAGCTATCTCAAACATATGCACAAGACCTGGATGTTGAGCTGGATTTGCACGACAGCCATCTCTGAAAAACAATTAGCATAAAAGTTGGTACACTTAAATACTGTATATACAGCAGCACTATGCAAACTGTCAATTCTTTGCATTCTTTTTTCTACATAATTACAGGAGAGGCTGGCTGCTAATCCGTTCAGTGCTTCCTGCGGTGAAAAAAAAAAAGCAACTTGGTAGATTCTGAGTGAGCCAAGCCTTCCTATCATAGGTTGTTCTGAGACAGTATTCCCAACACTGGAAATAAGCAATTTGTTTGTTTTGTTTGAAAAAGTAGGTGGTGATCGGCAGATTAGAGCTCCTGATATCTGAGCGAGGTTATACTCACGATTACTGTTGGCTTCGGGGTATGACAAGGTAAAGAGCAGGGTTGTGGAAAGACGCACGGTTTCCTTGCCGCATCTGCACATACTGCAGTTCTCCACTTCACATCCAAAAAGCTGTCCAATCACTGAGCCCCCCGTTGATGCAAAAGTGCTGGTGGAAAACAAATAGGAATTTAATGCTTATAACAGCATACATAAAATAAGAAAATCTCCAAAAGATCTGTAATACAACCCTGTCATCAAAGCCATTACATTATTAATCCAACTTAAATTTAACTGTCAATACCTTTCTCCAGCTATCTGAAAAATTATAGTGCAATATTAAAGTAATAAATCCATGAATATTAAAATGAAGAAATAGCTTAAGTATGTTGCATTTAATAAGTCCACGTTTTTTGCATACGCGGCAGTGCATTTCCAAGGTCTTATTTACCCTACCTGTATCTGTAAGATGGTAAAGCGTTTAATGCTGCATTTTGAAACTTATGCATATAAGAGCAGTCCCACATAGAACACATTTGTATGCTCTTAAAGTGGATTTCTACTTAAAGCAGGGCTCGAGTTTAAATGAAACGATCGTTTTAAATCTAAGAAACAAAAAAAAAACAAAAAAGTTTGCTTTTGCTGCAAAGCTCCACTTTAATTCGGAGATGTTCCATGCAGTACTTCACCAAAACATGTGCTCAGTCTTCTGGGTTGAATGCCTTCCAGCAACATGCAACTCACTTCCTTTATGACCGGGCTCTCATGTACTCCGGGTCATGCCGCCAAAAAAGGGACCGTGCAGGGTCCCTTTATCAAGCACGGTATGACAAAGAACTATAAAAGACAAACTAAAATAGCATGGGTTTTAAAGTTTGTGTTCTACGGTCATACTACACCTTATGAAGGGACCCTGCACAGTCCCCTAATGTCGCTATTTGACACTATGCAAGGGCTTCAATAAAGACATTGGATGAAAATGTTTGGTGTGCTGGTGACATACTCTACCTCATCAATAGAAGCAGACAATAAGAATAATGTATTGTGTCTGCCCCACTTTCAGATCACTAGAGTGGTGCCCACAATTTTGTGTGTTAAGTTCTACTTTTCAAAATGACCAGCTCAAGGAGTTCTACCAACGAATGGTACCACAACACCTCCCGCACCAGAACACAGGGTACGCGGTACAGAGCGTTCATTTCACCCGAGTGTGTGATGAATGCACTGTACTAGTGTGTGGGCCCTTAGCCAGACCCAGCACTCTTATCAGAGGAGCAGTAAATTATGCGACTATTACCTGTAAATGGCCAAGCTGTGTCAGTATTGCTGGCTCTTTCTTTCATCCATTCTTTCTCATAAATGGTCAGCACTATATAAATGCCTATAATCAATCTGATGCCTACATATGCAGAATCCTATTGGAAATCTGGCCCTGGGCAGCCATATTCTCCTGTGGGAGAATAAGGCTGCTGAACCATCACAGTTGCTGCCGTTGGCAGCACGGAGGGCCACTCTGGCCGACAGATCCTCTTTAGAGCTTCTCTGTGCCCCCCTCCCCCCCTGAGACTTCACACTTGGCTGTGGCGGAGCACTCAAGGCTGCAGAGCTAAGCAGAGTCCCGCCGGTTCAGTACAATTCCCGCCTCCTCCCATGACAAAGATACAGAGTTGCCTCTTACTTCACTACGCTGCTTATCCTAGTGCAGCCGGCCTCCTCCTGCCTGATGGAGCCAACTTGCGATTTACCAGCATTAGCTTTGCAATCGACTGGTAGATCGTGATTGTCCTATTGGGCACCCCTGGCATAAACAGTA